TATTTTGACAGTTGGCCTACCACTATCGAGATCAATTTTTATTCTTGTACATATATACATTTTAGAATAACCAGATTTGATTCTATATATTGAATTAAAATTAAAAACTTAAAAATACGTTTCCTTTTTGTATATTTCATACACATTGTTCTAAATACAGTGTATGTATGTATGAATCTACAAAAATGACAATTCAAATGATCTTGTGGTCAGTAATTGGATGAATAATGGGTCGAGGATGATTCAAATTCAAAAAAATTCCATAAGCGTGACCAATATTAAGTCGATAGTCGATAGAATATTTATCGACTGCAATCACTAGCTGCTTGAAAACGGGCAACACTTTTGCACAATGAACTGTCATTTTACTCCGTCTTCAAAAAAAACAGACTATACAGACGTTCTCAATGTACATACACGTATTACATGCGCATGTAAATGAGCTTTGTGAATAGGAGAGCAGCAATGGTAAGCACCCATTTAGGTCATCGGCATCGGATGATTTATCTAACGGCGACCTAATCCGGTCTGCGCTGATTGTTAGGTTAGACCCGTAGTGTTACAATCGAATTGTAGCACATACATTGCATACAAAATGTGATTGTTTTATTTAACTAAATATCGTATCTCTAAAATATGGTTTCTCAAATTTTTTAGCAACCGCCCAGTTAGGCTAGATAATAAAATTTCAACGCCCACCAGCACAAAAAATTATTGAAAACATGTATTTTTTATATTAATTTATTTCACACTTCAGCGCCCACTGGGAGCTGCAAAGTAATGGACCAAGATCCATACTCTTGGTATGATAAAGTCCTACGTGATCATACTTCAAAAGTGCTTATATCGCATGAAAGTTATAAAAACAATACGAACTAAGTACATAAACAAGTCGTTAAAAACCAAAACAAAGGTCCAATGTACGGGATGGGTACAGTGGCGGTGCCAGATCTTTGCACTTGTTTGTTCCATCTCTACTGTTTTTGCACCGTAAAACACCGTTGTTAAGTTAGCAACCTACTTATTGCACGTGTAAATGGTCATAATTAGCTACAATTGACAACTCTCTTCACTAGCGATCGGCCACAGATAAGGATTCAAATCTATATCGTACACTTTTTACTTAATACATTACGGAAATTGTGGTTTACGTTAGTGATGCAACGGAAGAGTCATAACGAAACAGAAGACATAAGTAAATTTTAGCAGAAACGGAAGCAGATATGGAAGCGGACGTGTAAATACTATAAAGATACATAAATAGTTTTCTCACTGATGGCGCTACGGCAAAAAGTCGTTAAAACAAAACAAAGATGTGAAACAAGCATTGACTTACAATTATATGGACGTCGGGTCCGCGCTAAAAAGTGTCCGCACTTGTAAGGCGCTAAAATCGTATACAGAGCGCGACACTCCGCTTTAGTCTTCATTTGTTCTACTGACAGCGCGATACTGCGATGACATAACAATTTAAATTTCGAATAGGTTGACTTGGGACATTTTTTTCGTGGTTTTTGTATTAGACCCGTCGTTCATTTATTTGTAAGTCAATGGAAACAAGCAAGAAAAATTCGTAAGGTCCGCTGGTCCGTTCTGTGGCTTAGTTGGCATAGCGTCTGGCACGGTTTACTATAAGATTCTGGTTCGAATTCAGCCGGATCGAAGGAATTTTTTCTATGTGTTCACTCCTTATATTTCATAATTATAACAAACTAGTGGAGTAATTTCACAAAACAAAATTGAATACCACGAGGTGAAACGTACTGAAATTCAATAAAACTTACTGACATGAAATCTATCGCTCCTATTTAAGCACAAAAAAGTTATCGACTAATTTTCGAGACATTCGCAGAATCTTCAAAGTTCTCATCTGAGAAGTTATCATTTGGTAGATGTGGCCTTATTACACGAAAGCTACGTATTCTATTCATTATCGAGATGTAATGGCTGTTAAAACTTAGAATAATAACGCGTAGAATGATAGTTTCATAACAAACGAACTGTCATAAGTGAGGCAAAAATCAAACTCATGTAGGCCAGCTTTAGTAGTTTTTGTGAATATTTATATAAAAATACAAGTTGAAATTTTTTAAGAGTTATTTCCTTGCGGAATGTGATGTTAGTATCTATTTTATGTTTGTCTGACGTATTTTTACACTCATTTACCGCACATTTCGTCATTTTTAGCTAAAATTCTTGAGCTGTTCGCGGTGCAAGTTGACCTTGAGCACTGAAGGCCTGCCCGCTCGTGTAGGCCCTTTGGGAGCGCTTCAATTTGCCTCACTTAGCGTGTGCGGGCTAGGTTTCTATGCGTTATTATTCTAAGTGTTAAACATTAATAACTTTAAAATGAAGGTCATATGGCATGCCCCTAGGAAGATTCTACCAGTCGACCTTTCAAATAAAAAGCATTAGTAGCAATAGAGCTCTTTTTGAAAGAGTTCGTCCAGGGAAGTACTGCCATTACGTAATGCGTTCCGGATTCTTAGGGCAAAGGAGCTGGTGAAATTACAAGCACATGAACTCTTTCACAAGCTCTACTGCAACTACATAAAAACTATTTCAACTTTCAAACAATTTAGTAGGTTCTTTGTAGTATTTAAAGAGAACTATCGCCATATAAAAAATGGATATATATTATATATTTCTGATGTTTGTTTGCTTGTTGATGTAAATAATTCGTTTTAGCCTTTAGTTTAGCCTGTTTTCAGGATTTTATATGATCGGGTGAAGTACATCCCATTGCGTAACAAATTAGTACCTACATTCTTTTGGACAATATTTTGTAACACAGTGGTTTAATAGTTAATACATAAAACCATTTGGTTTAGCAAAACAGTGAAACTTACTGAAGGTTTTTTTTTATATGTAATATTCAATGACGGGACGAACAAGTCGTGCGCCTGATGGTAAGCTACACGCCTGTCCTTAATAGTTGCAGTGCCACTCAGAGCTTTAAATCGCAAAGATCTGAGGGGCACTGCCACTGCGCCCGTCTGAGACATAAGTTGACAAGTCCCATGTGCTTGAAATTTCACCAGCACCCTTACCCTTCAAAACCGAAACACAGTAATGCTGACATTACTGTTTGGCGGCAGAAATAGGTAAGATGGCAGTACTTCCCTGGACGAACTCTTTCACAAGGAGTGTCAAGTCACAAATGTACATAGTCAAGTATGGGTTGTCCATTAAAATTGATAAAAATTTTTTACTCAGTTTCATGTAAGGATCATTTTATTGTATGGGCCGAAAAATATTGCGACATCACATAACGATGTAGAACCTACAAGGCATCCTTATATACCCAAAAAAATAATCGAACAATAACAAAAAACTATTTATTCATACAAGACATAAATTTTATACTTAAAACCTTTTTTTTACACATAAGACGCCATACGTTGTGGTTGAAAAACAGGACGCGACGCGACGCTTCGACTATGCGCCAGTGTGAATTGTGCCTACCACCGCCGCCGCGTCTAGTGGTTAATGCGACTAGTGTAGTAAAATACGCCTGAAGCCAACTCCGCATCGATAAGTGTGGTGACCCCCTAACGATTACCAAAATGCGAACATTTGAACCAGCACCTTAATATGCAATCGGTATAACCACTAATTGCCAAGCCATACATACGCTAATACTGTGTAGTACGAGAGTGTATGGAATTTAATGGCTCAAGATAAGATTGGCACCTCACATAGTCTCACGATGATTTGCAGGATCCTTGATTATCTTGCTTTATGAAGACGTATGAATGGGGATTCTCAAGACACTGCTGGGCAGGTTTCCTTTTAGCATAGCATTGCGGTCTAATTTAGTTCACAGATGTTATGTACCTGCCCACGTTTCAATAGGAACTGTCTACTCAGGCATAAGTTACGTTTCACAAAGAGCACTGTGTATATGGAGTAAGGTACATTTCTCATCAAAGCCTTTTGGCACATTGTGTATACTTAAACCTCTGCACCCATAATATCTACGTGTCTATAAATCTACGGACTTATCACCTACTGTACCGAATACACTGACCATATTTGAGCTTAGAGTTCATACGCACAGCCAAACAATAGGTTTTTTTTTTATAACATCAAGTTATGGCACGAGCAAGTCGTGCGCGTGATGGTAATCTACACGCCTGTCCATAACAGTTACAGTGCCATTCTGAGTTTTGCTAAGATCTGAGTGGTAGTCACTGCGCCCGTCACCCTGAGACATAAGTTGACAAGTCCCATGTGCCTGTAATTTTACCAGCACCCTTACCCTTCTAAACCGGAACACAGTAACGCTGACATTACTGCTTGGCGGCAGAAATAACCCCCATGGTGACTTTTGAAACGGCTGTATTGAACCCAATTCAAATAACGTACACTTGAGAGTAACAAAGTTGATAGTTCGTGTGTCTTTAGTTGTGCACTACAATACATAATAATAAATAATATATCTTAGGCTAAAGTTTAATATGAAATTGGCCTCTGTACGAGTTTCCACATCAACGGACAATCAGGTGTATCAGTTATACGAAAACCTAACCTGAACCTATGCACCAGAAGTTGTAACAAAAGGGACAAAGTTTTCGAAAGTATATACGCAGACAACTTTCAAAATTTAATTCGACAAAAGTATCAATTTTCATTAAAAAAACAATAATACTGTACCTACTAGGCTACCTACTTAACAGCTGGTTGTGTAATGTACGGACAACGGCACATCAGACTACACATTTGTGTTCGAAAATCGCCTCCATTGCAACGAAACAAGATACGTCAAAGTGTAGCTTGGTGTGCTGGCCTGTGTACAACGGGAGGTGAGCGCGCCAACGGTTTCGGTACTTATTTGGACAATAGAGGGTGCTGTATGTGCACCTATATGTATAGATCTGTGTATTGGGGTTTTTTCGGCTTCCAACTCCGTAAGTGACACCTTGTGAGAAATTTATGAACCTTCTCGTTCAGACGGTATTTGTTGGGTCGAATAAAAGAAGTTATTATTATTTTCTCAGGTCCAGGCTTCTGGGGCCTTATAAATCCCCAATGGAGCATGTGCAACAAGGGCCGTCGGCAGAGTCCGGTCAACATCGAACCCGACAAGCTACTCTTCGACCCTTGGTTGAGGGACATACAGTTTGACAAACATAAAGTAAGTACGATTGTGTACAGCTTAGGTAGTTGAAGTAGGATTTAAAAAACATATTTAAAATATGACCAAACTTCTCACAAAGCCTAATGTAAAGAAATCTTGAGAGGTTTCTTTTCATTCATGGCTCGTATTTTCTAAAATATTTCACATTTTTAATTGAATTGAAATAGTATGTTGTACAATCGTTGCATATAAAGTTATCAAACGCGTTAAAGAACATATAGCTGATGTCAAACACCGACGCGTAAACAAGTCCTGCAGTCTGCGAGCATGTCATGGATAAACCTGCACATCCAACGAAGTTTGACAAACCCCAGATCCTTGCAAAAGAAATCCGTTATCTACCCAGGATGCTGCGAGAGGCCATTGAAAGTAAAAAACATCCTGATTTCAACGAGAAAAGTGGTTTCTCCGTACCACTAGTTTGAGATCCAGTATTTCTAATGAAAAATCCCAAACAGATGTAAGACTGCAGTACTAAGTAATATGTTTTAATTTATTCTAATTTCCATTATTAATCAAATTAATTAACGGCACTGCACCTGTTATGGACAGGCGTGTTGCTTACCACCAAGTGCACGACTTGTTGGTCCCTTGTTGGCACTTGGTATCATAAAAAAAAACTAGATAAGGAACAGTCAAAAGTAAGCTTTTGAAGTTAAAAGTACAGTTTTTACAAAGATTATTTTTATTTTAACTATATTATGAAGAAAATACGAAGAAAGAAGTAGTGGTGAAGCAAGTTACAACTATTCCTTATTTTAAACAAAATTACAAAACAATTTATCCTGAAAATTCCACTAATTGCGAAATCAAAGTTTTGTGCAATGTGACAATAATGTGATTTAAATGAAAGTGAAAACATTAAATGAATTGAAATGAAACAATTTTATTTAGGTACAGTTACAAGTCCATATGGTGTTAGTAGGTACTTACAACTATGTTAGTAGAAAGCAGTGTTCATTTTCATGAACATGGATATCCAATACTTAAGGATTGGGCTGTCCATCCTCTCTGCTATGACCTTAAGAGACTGTTGGTGCTGCCTCTCACTCAGGCCAACAGGGATGCCACTCTCTTGCGAACGACTGCCTGAAAACTATCAATCCTAGCCTCCACGAAGATCACTGAGGCACTACAGTGTAGAGGCAGCCCCAGCAGTCCCAGCAGTCAATATTGACTGCCGCCGCTTAAAAGACTATTAAAAAAACCCAAACATGTGAACTCAGTTATTTATGCGAAAGTGAAAAATATATATATTATATATTTTATATTAAGTGACGGGACGAGCAAGTCGTGCACCTGATGATAAGCGACACGCCTATCCATAATAGTTGCAGTGCCACTCAACGTTTTAAGTCGCAACGATCTGAGGAGTACTGCCACTGCGCCTGTCATCCTGAGACATAAGATGACAAGTCCCATGTGCCTGTAATGTCACCAACATCCTTACCCTTCAAAACCGGAACACAGTAATGCCGATATTAATTTTTGACATTTTGAAAGAGTTCTACTGCTACTAAATTATAATACATAATTTCAATAAGAAAGAAGATATCCATAATATTAAACTTAGAGCTAAGTCCAAACTCATGGTACCACGATATCGTTTAACCAA